CTTTTGCAAGTTTTAATCAAACTTCATAAATTATACAAATAATTTAGACAATTTATATGAATTTGAGCTGCAAGTTCAATTTTCCAAATGTTTATACATAAAACAAGGGTCAAGTCTTTTATCGCTTTCAATGAATTGGAAAAATAATTTTAAGTTCACATTTCGAGCTATCCATCTAATTATTTATGTAAAATTTATGAAAAGTCAGTTTACATTGACTTTAAAATTCAGCAATAATATCTTATTTGTAATTTAAATTGTGTTTAATTACCATTTAATTTCTGCATTTTTAAAACTGACATAACGTTAACGTTTTCCAATAAGAAAAATCACGTTATTAATGGCCAACGAAACCCTACAATCATGTATATTTTGTGATTCAAATGTTGTTACTTAGAACATATACAGCAACTATATAGCAAGAGTCAACCAGAAAACAAATCATCAGTTTTTCAAAATTTATAATTTTTCCCGAGTAAAGTTCTAAAAAGAAAAAAAAATAGTACAATTAAAACTTTTAGTAAACCATTTTTTAAAATTTTCTAAAAAAACACATGCTTTTTTTCCATAATTATTACACTAGAAAATAAATTTGCAATTAAATTGCAGCCAGTTTTTAAATTCTTTTTTTGCATCATGTCCATATTGGTTCACATATTGTTAACTTTTTTCTCCTTTTTCTCCCTATTGCATTTTCAATCAGGAACTAAATTAAAATGACCATAAGATCAATGAACTCTTTATTATGCAACCAACTCCTTATATTATGTTATAGAACAAAATATAATTTAATTTAATGTATAACACATTTGGAAAAGAAAAAATTTAAATTCCTTATTTGAAATGACATTAATATGATTGTGCTGATATTTTCTCTGGAGAATTACCCATAAATTTCGAAATTCAAAACAATATTATGTGAACATGTTAGCAAAAACAGAGTGTACAAAAGTAGAGAAAGAAAAAACAAGAAATAAAAAAGGATTTTTATTTAATGTAATTTTACTTTTATGTTTTCTACATGTAGTTGTAAGCACATTCATTCATATCCATATTCACATTCCATATATACGAGAACGTGATACATAATTTAAGTACTCTATATAATATGTACGTACATTTTTCAATATATTTTTTTTGGCAGTGATTTTCTAACTGCCACTACTATTATTACTGTTACTACAATATACTCGCCCATAATAGCATTATAAAACTGACTATAATTTTTTTATGTCATCCTTTTTCGTTTTTCTTATCCTTTCTCGTAATTTTTTCTATATTTTTTTATTTTAATATATTCTATGTGTAATTTTTGATTATACATATATTTTTTTTATTCTCATATGTCCTTATTTTGAGCATAATAAATTCAAAGTGAAAGCTCACAAAAAAAAATTAAGCAAAAAAAATAACAACTTCACAACAATCTTACTTTTTTTTTTTGTAGGTCCTTTTTACTCATATTCTTCTATCAAAGATTAGGTTTTTTTTATAAATAAAAACAAAAAAGAAAATATCTTTCTACCCTAACAGAAAATTTTCTAAATAAAGCAAACGCCAAAAAAAATATAACAACAGAGTAAAAGAAGTCACAGTGGCGTCTCAAACCCTCTTTAATAAATCTAAAGTGTAAGCGTACATAGCGTTTTTTGATCTAAAATATATAAAAACAAAAAAATTATCAATTCAGCAAAAATAATATAAACGAGCCGAAAAGTGGAGCCAAAAATTGAAAAACAAAAGGAGAAAATTTACAAATTTTCATTTTATAAAATTAAATTATAAGAAAAAATATAAAAATAAAAGATACGAACAATAAAATAATAATCACATAAAAATGTCAGGATGCTTCCAATTCGAAAAAAATAGCAAGAATATAAGAGCTGAAAAATTGTAGGTGAAACATTGAACTTGGACATGAGGATGGATGTTTATAAAATTTAACAAGTCCTTTTTATAAATACATATATTGAATTGTTACTATTGTATATTTCCCGAATTCTGTAAAGAAAAATATATTTGAAAGCAATAACATTTCCAATTAAAAATTGATACCGAAAATTATTACACCTTAATTGGCTCTAGTCCATTTTGAATTTCAAATTTCAATCCATTTAAGCTGGAACTCAAAAGAGCACTACCAAATTTCTTTAATTGTTTAATAACAAATCGACTAAAGCAAATCAATTTTATTTAATTTAAAACTAATCAGAGTAATTATTCGATTTGAAAATAGTGTATCCAAAACGACAGATATTTCGGGAAAGTCAGTATTCAGTATAAACAGCCTTAATCATGCTAAAGTTATACAGCTGTATTTTCTTATAATTTCACAAACATCTAAGTTCACGGTGTAAGAAGTATATTTGAAGAATTTTTTAACTTACCACCGTAACAAAAGAAAACTTGCGAGTACATACAAATATAAAATTTTACAATATCAAAAATTTTTGTGTTGCCAAAAAAAAAGAAAATATAAAAACAGAAAATTTTTTGCAAATTTAAAAAAACATATTTTATATTAAAAAGACATTTATGATTATGTTATGAGAATTTGTATTAGACAATGTTTACAAAAACAATACGTACAATAAATGAAAATAAAGTTTTCAATGAACCAATGGATGTTGGATATATATGTATATGTATGTAGGTATTTAGAATTTGATTAATTGCTTGGAATACATACTATATCGTAAAATTATACTATAAGTCTTATTTATAATAATTGGAACAGAAATATATGTTTGAAATGATTTCCTCGCATTATTTCTCTATTTTGACATCAAATTAATTATTAATTAGGAGCCTATACTAATGCCACTATTGTGACATTATAGCAGTGAATACTATGAGGCGCTAATAATACCTAATCTTTACACTTAATTTTTATAACACACCACAAACCACATTAGTATAAAATATTTATCATTTCAAATAAAAAATACCTAGATATCTACTTATTCAAATATAGGTGAATAACATTAAAATATTTGTGTTGTTATAGCTATAAGTACATAATTATGTACATACATATATTACATGAAATCGTAGTATTAGGCATTATATTGTCTAATCAAATTTCATTTAAATTTTATAATTGAAATTATAATATTCTAATTAAAATGAAAATCAATTAGTTGCAGTTTACATAACATACGTTTAGATTTTATAATTAAATTTTATAATTACACATAATATTCTTTAATGAATTTGAATTATATAAACATGAATTCTTTATATTGGAATAGGTACACATTTCCTAAAAGTTAAAAAAAAATTGAGCGTTTTAAACTGTGATTTTCAAAATTTTTATATTTAAAATAAATTATAAAATAATTACGTATGTTGTGTACATATAAAATAGCTTACTTTTGAGATTCGCTGAACGACAAAGGTACTTATATAGTATGTATAAATGTCATGCGTATTTACATATACATATAGTACATATATGTAAATGTATATATAATATAAAAAAAAATGTATATAAGTATGACATAAATTATTGCTACGTAGACAAATTCTTGGGTCCTGGCAAACTTTAATTATGTCACGAGTCTCTTTCAATTTGGAAATAAAAAAATTCTTCAAAACAAGTTGACCACAAATATAACTATGTACGCATAAGTATGTACATACGTGCATATGTCTATATACGCGTACGTCTGTAAATTATAATTTATAATCTTTTCTACATACTATATTTTGGGTGTGAAATATTTAATTTTATTGTTGATGTGAATATGTATGCATGCATGCAAGCGTTAAATGGTATGCAAAGCGTGCAATGCGATATATGTATATGTTTATACACACGCCTGTACATACATATGTATGTACATGTTAACTGTAAACGGCTTATGAAAGCAACACCTGGCATATATCTTCCCATTACAATTGTAGTTAATTATATCGTATTTTAACTTTTACCGTATTTATAAGTTTTTATAAAAGAACCATAGTAATCTAACTTAACTTTAAGGATAATCCAATATCATTGGTGTTAACAATAAATTTTTAGTAAAAATTAGATTCTAGATGCTACACTTTATTCATTTGTAAAAAAGCTTTAGTAACATACGCTAATTATTTAGCGGTATAAAACCGAAATAATCATAAATTACATTCAAACTGTACTTATACTTGGACATACCGGGATCCATATTCATATGTATGTGTGCATGTAGTATACGACTCAAAGCTTCAAATCCAATGCATCTTATCCTACTACCATGGCCAATATTTGCTGTTTCTTTTCTTTTTTCATTTTATTTAATAAAAATAATTTTTTTCTATTAAATTAAAACACAATTTTTAGATTACTTAACAACTTAATTTTGTAAGTCTAAAAAAAAAAAAACTTTTTCTTCGTTTTTTGTCTTCTCATCTTGCTGGTCGTTAACCAAATAATTCAATTTACAGACTTTGTTAAGCAACGTCAGCACTGACAATGGAAAATATTAAAATTTAAAAATAAGCAGCGCTGCTTGCACAAAATTTCTAATATAAGTTAAGATCAATCATATATAGATGGCGCATTGTTATAATTTATAAAAAAATACAGGGATTTTGCTTAACCGCAAAAAAGTTTAAGAACTTTTGAAACATAAAAATCATATTTCTTATTTAATACCACAATATGACGAATTTCAAATATTTTAAAAACATTTCAAATATTTTAAAAATTCTGGTACTTCAATACATACATATATTTCTAAACCGTTCTAGATAGAAATGTGACACAAAAAAATAGAAGAATTATGTCAGCCGCGGATCCAACCGCTGGCGGTAAAATAGAATAAAATAGTAATTTAGCGCTGACAGTTTTTTTTGACATCATCGGTTTTGTTAAAAATCGTTCATCGTTGCCGTTCACCGTTGCAATTATTAATCTCACCTGTATTATTACAAAATATTAAAATTAAATATTAAATTTAAAATTTTTCTAAAAAAAAAAATTTATTTACAAATCTTATTTGCCTTTCTTCTCTTTACAGAATTTCATGAACATCATTCTTGAAAATAAAGTCAATTCAATATTAAAACAAAGCACATGACGTCGTGATAGTTATAAACAATATATTTAAAATAATATTATTTATTATAAATTAATATAAAAAAAAATTACAAAAAATTAGCAAAAAGACAAAGAAAATTAAATTATTAAATTAACTAGAATTAGTTTTAGTATAAAATAATTCATTAAATTGAGAAAAATATATTCAATATAATTTAACATTCATTTTGTAATATATAAAATTCAGAAAATCATCACATATATTATATATACATATAAACTTATATACAAGGATATATATACATATATATATATATATATATATATATAATTCATCATTAAATTACTATAAAAAAAAATAAAGAAAAAAATATTTAATTGTGTAGTTAAATTAATGTAAAATTAATAAAATATATATAATAATAATAATATTTAAATGAAAAATATTTGAATTATTTTTAATAATGAAATATTATAAATATATTCTTTAAATATTATTATTAATTATAGAAGATTAAATAGAAAATAATATAGGAAAGTAGGAAATGAATAATGAATGATTACTTATAGTTTGTGAATTGTATATAAAATCTATTGTGAATAAATTAAAATAGTTGACAAGTTTAATAAAAAATTATTGTATTATACGGTTCAATAGCAATAGAAAATTAATATTTAATATAGTTTTAAATACAAATTATAGTTTATTTTTTACAAAATTTGAACAAGGAATCAATTCACATCCAGAAGCTTCTTATATATATTTAATGTGTTGTTGTTTGAAAGTTTTGTTTGATTTTCAACATGGAACAAAGAGTATACTTTTAATTTATATATGAAACTTAATATGTAGTAATATTTAAAAATTGAATTTATGTTTTTCAGCCCACTAATTTTGGAGCTTTTAAAAATTTGCTTAGGAATACAAAGAAATTCAAGTATAATAAAGAACTAGAAGAACAGTTTCCAATGTGGAAACTTAATTTCATCAAATTTTCATTTCGAAAATGTAATTTCCAACAAAAATTTTGCTGATATGAAATATTATTTCTGTATTTAATACATAAATAATGGGAAATTACTATGAATTTATAATACAAATCGATTCAGTATCAATAAATTTTGAACAGGAAGTCTCAATTTCAGTTGGACTATTTTGGATAATTATTATTTGCATTTATTATGCGAGCAAAAGCAATACTTGTTTGCTTAAAGTATACAAACCTTAATTTAATTACAACTATTATGTGCAATTGTTGAATTTACTTTTTAAAATTATTTAAAGATTTATACATTTTTTTGCCCCAGAAAACCATTTTTTGTGTTCTTAATTTTATACCATTTACCACATTTAGAATATGAAAAGTTTTAGTAATAAAATATCTGGCAACTATAATTAAGTATGTAAACTCTTAAATTAAATATTTAAAAATTGAAAAAAAATTTAAAAAAGGAAAAGACAACAAAAGAAAATTATTAAAAATATTACAAAATAACCGTATTGTTAATAATTCAGTAGTATTTAACATGTACATATAAATACGTAGAATATATATATTAAATTTATATTTAAATATAAAATATAGATGTTATTTAGAAAAACAAAATTAAAAAATTATAAAAAATTAAATAAATGTTAATTAGAAAATATTAATTGTAATTGTAATCGTTGATTTTTTTATATATATATTTACATATGATATGTACATACATTTACATAATTATGTAATACAATATTATTTAACACTGTCACGTATATAAAAATAACAGAATTGTAACTTGTAAATTCAATAATTATTTTTTATATTAATTTTAATAAATTATTTGATTTTTATTTTCTAATTATTAGTAAATTAACTATGAACGAAAAATTTGTGAAACTAATTAAAAAAAAATTTACAATATATATATTTATATATATATATATATATTTATATATTTGAAGCCATTTTAAATATAATGAAATTATTAATTAAAATTAAATAATAAATTATGTTATATATATATATATGTATACATATTATTATATATGTATATAGAAAAGTTAAAATTGAAAACGAGTTCCAAAAGGCCCTTAAATTTAATAAATTTAAAAAAAAAGGTGTATGCTAACAAGGTGTAATATAAAAAGCAAATAATTTTGTATAAAATAGAAAAAAAATTATATTTTAAATAACACGGAATTGTAAAAACATAAATTTTTGAATTCTAGACTCATTATTTATTATTATATATAACAAATAGACTCTTATATAATCTTGTGTTCAATAGCGAAGTGAAATATACCATATTTGAGCTCTGGTTAATTCTGGTCTTAAATAGTTTGTCAAGAAAATTTATTTGACAATTTGATAAATCTTAGACTATAGTCTTATATTACAAATATTTGAACAATTTCGAACCCAGGTATAAATTTGCATTAAAAGATTTATAACATTTTTAGAAAGTGTTGTTTAAAACCTATTTTTATTTATATATTTCAAAATGATTAAATTTTATAAAATTAAAGCATTAAACTTCAATCCGGAAAACAATTTTAACAACAATTTTTTTTTTGTTAAAAACCAATTAATAATTTATCCGAAATTTTATTTATAATTATATAAAAAATAAAATATTAAATGCTACACCTTTTTTCGTATTATATATAAAATATAATGTTTTTTTTATATATAAGCATAATTTATTTAATATAATTAATATTGTAAAATAATTAAAATTTCATCTGTAAATATTAAAAATAAAATTAAACAGCGAATTCATTTAATTTTACATATTAAAAAAAAAATTTAGCAAATATATAAAAAAAAATTTAAAATATATAAGGACATTTCAGCAAAAAAACAAAAAAAAAACATTATTAATATAATCGTGAATAATTTTAAAAAATTTTATTAATTAATTAAAAAAAAATAGAAGTTATATAAAGAGTAAAAATGATTACCCAGCGTGTTTCGCATAGAGTTTGCAAATAATTTCAAAATAAGGGATGATTTTTTGATCAATTTCCAGGAAAAAATTGTATGGGTAGAATGTACTCATTTTTGAGATACAAAGTGTTGAAAAAAAATCGGTTCCGGACTTTTCCTTTATATAAAATATATTATATTAACTTCGGAGACGTGCAACATATAGTAACTATTAGACACCCTTTTTGAAGATTATTGATAGATCTGTATTTTTAAAATCAATTATATTTGACCTTTAGTTTTTGAGGAAAATTACCCAAAATTAAAAATTTCTCATTTTCTTTTCGTTCTTTTCTTTCGTTGCGCTACAATGAGAGATAACAATACCCCATGAAATATTTTCTTCAATTTCTCATAGTTTTGCCAGTCTCTCACAATTTTGCAACCCCACTCCCCAAGTACGATTTCTTACTTAAAAATAAACAAAAAATCATCTGTTTAATTAATTGCAACCTGTTGCAAAGCATACTGTATAAGAATAATAAATTTTTGTAAATATTAAAAATATGTACTTAAAAGTTGGAAAAAAAATGTGTATGAAACGAAATTAAAAATTTAAATAAATTAATTTTAGAATAAATACTATAAAAAATTCAATAAATAATAATTATATAAAAGAAATCAATTATAAAAAAAAAAAAAAAACAAAAAAAAATATGTAATTTGAAAAATTCAAACAAAAAAATACAAGAAAACTTGCAATTCCTAAAGAAAAATAAGACTTTAAAAAACGATTAGAATTTAGGAAAAATAAGAAAACAAAAAAAAAAAATTTATTAAACGTAAAACAAAAGGTTATGAAGAAATAAAAAATTAAAATAAATTTAATAAAATTTAAACAAAAAAAAAATTATAATATTAATAAAATCAATAGATTAAGAAATGAAAATGTGAAAATGTAAATTTAAAAAACAAAATTTAAAATTAGGTGTAAAAGAAAAATCGTAGCAGAAAATTGTTTCATTTTATTTTAAAATATAAAAAAAAATTAAAAAATAAAAAAACTTAATAATAAAGGAAGAAAAATACAATAGAAAAATTGTTAAAAAATATTCAATAATTTATAATTTTTATTTTATAAATTAAAAACTAGATTTTTAAAATATTCAAACAAAATGTATCTGTTATACAACTTGTAAGCAAATTTTTTATAATATTTTGTCAAATACTCGTACATCCAATTAAAATTTATTGCAGAAAATTTATAATTTTTTTTAGCAGAAAAAAGTGAAAAGTGCTAAAATTTGTTTATGTATCAATTCGGTTGAATTTGATTATGTACCAAATTTCAATTAAATTTTTTATTAATTTTAATGTTTTCTTGGTAATTCAAATTTCTCAGTAATTCTAAAATGACAGAAATTTTTTTTACTTTTCGATTCAAAGAAATAATAAATTTTAAATTAATATCATCAATGTTGTTGACTCAAAGCAACAAATCGAATTTATTTTATTCCTTTATATTGAAAATTTCAATTCGGACCGTATATAAGTTTAATTATACACTTAAATTTAAAAAATATATTAAATGAATAACATTTAATTACAAAAAAAAAAAACAAATATTTGTAATAGATAATCCAAATTGTAATTTTAAATATATTTATTTAATGATATAAAAAAAAAAATTAATAATAATTTTAAGGTATATAGGGTAAAAATTTCTACAACACCAACTTTCATATTATTGATTTATTGAGAAATTATTTTACAAATTAAAAATATCCTATATTTTTAATTTACAAATTATTAATTAAAAAAATGAATTTATTTATATATTTTTAAAACGAATTGATTTTCAATAATTTACAAAGGTAAAAAATTTTTAATTGAATTTCAATTTAAATTTGAAATAAAAATGAAAATTTTCCAATATACTTAGGGAAAGAAAAAAAAACTATCATCGATATTATTTAAATTCCTGGTAATTTTTAAAATAAAATGAAATTCTAGTTAAATAGCCGATACAAATTCCAATAAATTTATAATTAATTATTTCAAAAATCATTCATATAATGAGTGGCTATCACATGTGAACCTTCTTCTTAAACATAATATTTTTCTCTACAATAAAACTCTATTCACAATGTTCCTTGTGCTCTATAGTTTAATGTACAGTCATTAATATTATACGTTTCATATAGCATTATT